AAAAATACTGCTAACCCAGGTTTGCACTGGTGACATGGTGTCGGAGAAGCCCACGTGCGTGAACACCGATCTCATCCAGGCACAGCCACAGGGGGCAGGGCTGGAGGCTGGGCAGGTGGGAGCAGGGCCCAGAAGAGCCTTGTTCACAGTGATAAGCCCGGGCCTTAGTGGAGCTGCAGCGTCCAGGAGAGACGGGAACCCACTGGGGGTGTCCCCCCGAGGCGGGCGGGCTGGCTGGAGGAGGAGGAGGATGTGGGGAAGGCGGTATACATGTGAGTCATGTGTGTGGTTCTCAAAGCCAGGAGAGAGGGACCAGTGAGGGGAAAAAAGCCTGACAAGCCCCAGCTGTGCGGTCGCGGGAGGAAACCGGACAGAGGGGAAAGCGCAGGCAGTTCAGGAAGGTGCATCACACAAGTACCCCGGGGTTGCTTTCTTCCCCCAAACCTTTGAAACCCGGAGCAGAGGTCCTGTCGTTCTTTCCATTTCTCACTGTCCCCTAAGTACTGTCGTAGGGGAAGGCGAGCGCGAGGTCATAGCTGTTACCCGCCGCGGTGTCGCAGGATGAGCGGCAGGCGGGAAGAGCACTCTGCAAGGCCAGCCGGTCCACGGCGAACTCGTAGGCGTGGACCAGCCCCCGGTGCCTAGAGGGAGCACAGAGAGGGCCGTCCTACAGCTCTGCCCTTGGGGCCCACAGTGAGCGGACACGCAGGATCCCAGGACCAGAGGTGAATGGGTCAGTGCCATGAGGAGAGGCCCCCGGCCTCACAGGCTGCTCAGGCCAGTAAGAAGCACCCGAGCCTTGTGCCTTGTGCATGGAGTGAGGAGGGAGGGGTCTCCCTTGTGTGGCAGCTGAGTCACCCAGCCGACCCGCAGGGGGACTTAACTCAGAAGCCGTGACTAGGACTCTAACCACTGCAGGTCCCTAAGCCCTTTGTCTTGGCCTCTCTGTGCCCCCCCCCCCCCCCATGCAGCCATCCTGCAGAAGCAGTGAGGTATTGTGGGGGAAACACTTAACACGGCAGATAGCACATTACTTGCTAATATCACTCACCCTATTGCATCTCTAGCTGCCTGTGCCTGAGGGTACATCCCGTAGGGAGTAGTGTGACATGGGGGGTCCTATTCTAAGATCAAACATAACTGTCTTTTCTGCACATCCAGACCACAGCAGCCGAGCCCACTGACCTCCTGTGCGTGGCGAAGTTGTCCAGGTCGGCACTGCGCACCACCCGGTCGTAGGGCACGTTGGCCGTGATGAGGCTGTGGCTGGTGAAGGCGAGGTGGCGGACGGGGTGCCTGGAACACAAGGGGAGAGCACTCTGCTGAAGGTAAGTTCGCTGCAAACTGAGCATGTCCTGCATGTGCTGCCAGTCTAGAAGCTGAGAACTACAGGGCCCTAGGACCCCCTAACCAGGCGTTTCTTTGACGGAGGACACCCCCCCGGCGATGTCTCGCCTTCGTTCCCACAGTTAGAGCCAGATCCACTCTGTAAACAAGTCTGAACGCCCCCAACAACAGGGTGTGTTTTGGACGTAAAGGACAAACTCAGCAGCACGCGGGCGAGAACACCCACGCTGGCTGGTGTGGGACAAGTCACTCCAGCTCCGAGCCAGGTCCATCTGCAGGCACAGAACCATAAGGCCCATAGTCCTAGTCAGGGGGCTCCACGTGACACAGGTAGTCTGGGTTGTAAACGCACATTCAGAAAATCTTGGAATGAAATGGCTTGAAATCTATGTACAAAGTTTTGTTCATTCTAAAACCTTTTCATTGCTACTATGGTCACAGCACTGAGCCAGGACACCCACTGCAAGCGGAGACCTGCCATCAGAGATGCCCGCCAGGTCAAGGTAAGACATACCTGGGGGGTATGGGGGGGCGGGGGGCGGCAGAAGCAGGGTTACAGGCTCCTCGAGCAGGAAATGGTACAGGGCACACAGATGGGCCCAGGGTCCAGCACTCAGGGGGAGAGACCACGGCTGACAGGCCCGCTCAGAAGGCACAGGAGAGGGGGATTCTCTCGTACATAAAGGGAGTCTGAGCCCAGGGAGGCAAGAGGAAAGGAGAGAAAGGACAGGTGTGAGCAGGACTCAAGGAGACAGGCACCTGTCCGAGCACCAGCTGGACAGAGCTCAGAAGAGCATCACAGCAGCAGTGGCAGGCGACTACAGTGAGGCATCAGCTAACAGTGACCTGGTGAGGGACAAGCCACTAACTGGTGGTCGAACTGGATGTGCATTTACAGATGAGTCAGCACCACAGTGCTGGGAAGACCCGCTTCACCAGCACGGCTCACCCGAGGGCATCAGCTTCTCGGGGAGAGACTGAGACCTGGAGTGCACGCCTAGTGAGCCGCACGCAGGGGAGGCACCGCTGGAGCCAAGCCAGGTGGAGTCAGTTCTAGACTCTTAAAAGGGATTCCAGTGGGTGGGAGTGTTAGTTGCCTTTTGGCACCACCTGGTGGCAACTCAGTGCATCAGCACAGAAATCAGAAAAGGGCCCATGGGAGGGCTTGCCTGGTACACTGTGGGCCCTGCACGTCACCCAGGGCTCTAGTCTGTAAAAGCTGCTGAGGCACTCGCTAGCACTGCCTTCCAAGGAAGAAACCACATTCTTCTTTTAACCTGGCCCTTCTTGTACTTAGAACGAAGACGGTGCTGCCTCCTCGTGGGCCTAGTTTATCATGATTTGCACTAGAGGAGGAACAAAGCTCAGCTCACAATTGCAGGCTGTGGCCTTTCCTCCCACCTGCCTCAGAAGCAGAGTGGATGGGGGTGAGCAAGCATGTCAAACTCAAAGGCTAACACAGGCCAAATAAACGAGGCATGTGGCCCACCGGCGTGAGTTTGACATGCTTGCTGTAAAGTGTTAAACCAGTTAGGCTCCACTCATGTAAACATACCTACACCTGTGAAGCCTTTGGCCTGTGCCTATTTAACGTGAATATTCGAGTTAAAGGTTGAGACTGCACATTCCTCCTAGTTCAAGCCTGAATCCATCCAGTCCTAAGTGCCCTTCTACACCATGGAAGGAAGTCCAAGGAATGGGCAGGACATCACATCCTGCTGCTGAGACTCTGAGTGGAGGGAGGTGGGAATGAATGAGGCAGTTTTCACAATGGGAGAGAGGAAATGCCTCTCTACTGACCGTGCCCGGCTCCATTCCTCAGCCTGAGTTTCCTCATCTGAAAATGGAGGTCACAGCCGCTGGCTCTCAGGGTTACGGTGAGGGCTGTAAGCCCCAGATGGCACTGAGCACAACGCCTGGCTCAGAGGTTGAACTAGTGTCGTCATCACTGTTAGCACTAGAGGTGCCGAGAAGCAGCCTTACCTGGAATGCACCTCCCACAGCTTCTGGTTCATCCGATAGTCCCACACGGAGACCAGGCCCTCCTCGCCTCCACTGACAACTTTCCAGTCGTCCATCTGCACGGCGGAGACGCCAAGCTGGTGTGCAGAGAGCGACAGGGCGATCTTGTTGGTGCGGAGGTCATGGATCCTCACCCTGGAAGGCCCAAGGTGAGCAGAGGTTAGAGTGAAAGCCTGAAATGACAAACCCTCCTGGGTTGTGCTGGGGTCTAGGCACAACAGTCCCATGAAGACAGAGACCATGAAACCCCTGTGGTTGCAGAGATCTAAACACGCTAGGAAACGTTATCGCCTTGGTACACCGTCACACAGAGGAGGCCCAGACGCAAGGCATGAACGAGTGAAGAGCCCACAACTGCTTAGCTGGGAGGATTTAAGAGCCCCCAGAACAAGAGAGACTCGGGACCCATCCAGTAGGTGCCTGTCACTCACTCTATCTGCTCAACAGGGAGACGCCTGCCCTGGGTGCCCGTCCACAGAGGAAGGTGAACTCTGACTGCGCCTCCACATGGGCATCGGCTGCCCTAAGGGTAAGTTTAACTCTCAGCACGGAAACTTTGCTTGTGGTATAATATTCTGTTAAGGGCAAATCAGTTACGCTTGTCTGCCACCCAAACCCTTACCTGGTTGAGGAAAAATAACATTTTACTCAACTCTGTCCATCACCATCTTGCTGAAATGTGGGAAGGGAACACCTACAGTTGAGCAAGTGTAACAGAATCGTGAGAAGTGACTGCCCAGTGCCCACATACTCTTATCTAAAGTCTGGGAAGAATCACTTGCCTTGTCATCATCTGCATTTCTCCCTGCTCCTCACCTGAGGATATGCTTTTTATTGATTTTAGAGAGAGAGAGAGAAACATGGATCAGTTGCCTCCCGTACTCGCTTCAACCAGGAATTGAACCCACCACCTTTCAGTGTACAGGACAACGCTCAGCCAACTGAGCCACACCGGCCAATCATCTGAATTCTTAAAGAAACTACTTTTTATACAAGTATGTGACCTTCCACATCAGGATAAATTATATAGAGACAGAAATCTCTTATCCACTAGAAACCCCAACATACTTAGCTTCTGAAATCAGCTACAAGAGCTACCACTGAATGAGACAAAATGTGTGTACAAGAAACCCCATGCTGTAACTCACCTAGTGGGGATGCTGGGCAAACAGAATGCTAGTATGGTCAACATGACCAAAGCATGTGTTTGACACCAAAACTGTGATGAGAAGGGGAAGTCCTGAGACATGTCCTACACTTTCGGTTATGAGAATGCACACACAAATCTATTATTTTGAACCGAAAATTCTATACCTAGTTTACCTACCAAATTTGAAGGCAAAATTAAAAGGCTCTTGTTTTTTCTTTTAACAGAAAATGACTCAGAGTGAGCAACCTGTAGCTATTCTGAAAGAAAGTGCTGCAGCAAAATCCCGGAGGACTGTGAGGAGACAACACACAGACCACGCAGTGACGCACAGAACAAACACTGAGCATAGCATAAGAGGACAGCCGGCTTAAGACCGAACGTGTCTGCCAGTCAGTAAATACACCCAGAGCAAACCCACCTAGAAGAGTTCAAACGGGTCACAAAGCAAAATTCAATATATGCTACACACACATGCCATGTTTGCAGGTGCAAGGAAGAGGTAGCAATTTTAACACCAGAAAAGGGATTTCAGAGCACAAAGATGAGATGAGAGTACTTGAGAATGACGAAGGGTACAATTCACTAAATGTTCAGTAAAACCTGCCTGGAAAAAAACGCAGAAAACCTACATGGACCTAATTTTTTAATTTGGTTTCTTTGGTCATTATAATCTGTTCAGGTTTTCTATTTTATTGTTTAAATCTCCAAATTTGAAGATACAGATGAATACATGACTTTCCAAGAAAGACCCCTGGGGGCAGACAATCCCAGCAGAAGTAACAAAGAGTACACTGGGGCAGCTGTCCCCGCACAAAGAACCAGAGCACCTGGCCTGCCTGGGAGGAGCCCCCTGGGCTGCGGCACTGCCCGCAGGAGCAGAGGAAGCTTCCAAACCTCCATAGAGCCAGCACGCTCTTCCAAGAAACTGACGAGGAGAGCACGTGGGAAGGCAGCAATCGATCGGCACCAAGGCTAAGACCTGAATGAAATATTAACTAACAGAATCCACAGCAATACACTGCCAACAAGCGGAATCCACCCAGCTCCTGTGAGCACAATTCACCTACTATTGTAACAAACAAGAAAAAACACATGGTCACTCCCATGGATGCTGAAACGAAATCTGATGAAATATAATATTTATTCCTAATAAAAAGTCTTTAAAAAATAGTGACCTATACTTTTACCACTGATATGTCACATTGTTTTAAAAAAATGGATATAGCCGAAGCCGGTTTGGCTCAGTGGATAGAGCGTCAGCCTGCGGACTGAAGGGTCCCGGGTTCGATTCCGGTCAAGGGCATGTACCTGGGTTGCGGGCACATCCCCAGTAGGAGATGTGCAGGAGGCAGCTGATCGATGTTTCTCTCTCATCGATGTTTCTAACTATCTCTCTCCCTTTCTCTCTGTAAAAAATCAATAAAATAAATTTTTTAAAAAAATGGATATAATTAAATAAAAGAAAATAAGGTGAGAATCAAATGCAAATTAATGTCAAAATCAACAGCTGTATCTTATGTACCAACAACCACTAGCTTTAAAAATGTAAGACCCCACTTATAATAGCAATTAAAGGCAAAATACCCTATAACTTTATTTTAGAGTTCTACCATATACATTATACCGAAATAAATTATAGAAGGCTCAAGAGTCAACATAATTAAACTCTAAATAGTCAGAATAGGAAAGGCCTTTCTAAATATAAAAAACCTGGAAGTCAAAAAGAAAAATATTGATAACTGTATATAAAGTATTTAAGTTTTTCTCACATGGGGGAAAAATCATAAGGCAAAATGATCAAGTGGGGAAACGGTTGGTAACAGAGAGGGCTGGCAAATGCCTTCAAATTGATAGTAAAGATTGACAACCCAAAAGTAACAGGAGAGAAAAGAAAACCATTCACAGAAAAGGAAATACTAATGGTTTTTAAACATGTGTGACATGTTCTAGTTCACTGGCGATGAGAGAAATTAGGAAGTAAAACTAATGCAATACACCACTTGTCCCCCATCACCCAGCAAAGATAAAGTTTGGCAGAACGCTCTGAGCCCCTCTGTGCTGTGAGACCTGGAGGCAGGTACTTAGGTGTGGCTGATGTGGGCATAAATCCCTCTTTGGGGAGTGACTTGGTAATATCCAACAAAATAAAAAATACACTACTGACCTAGCAGTTCTGCTTCTAAGAATTCAGGATATATCGCATGTGTACAAATGCACACACATACAGGCATACAAGGCCACTGGCCACAGCACTCTTTTTAGTAGCAAAAGATGGGGCTTCTGTTTCAGGCAACTTGTTGACCCACTCATTGAAAATCCCTTAATGCTGCTGGATATCCTTTTAAATGCTCTACCGAGCTCACAAAACCGGCGACTTCCCCAGGGCTCGAGCTGAGAACCAGCCTGGAGAGCTGGAGCTGCAGTGCCAGGCTCCTGTGAGCATGTGTGGTGGGTGAGGCTGCTGGCAGGTGCCAATCTCAGGAGCCAATGGGTCTGGATCTTACCTGGACACAGGCCCACCCAGAGGGGGAGGGGGTGGGAGTATTGAGATTCCTGCTTTATAAAAATGCCAAAGTAACCTTCTACAAATGAAAATATAGTCCCTGGAATTAACAGGCTGGAAGAGTTTATAAATTAGAGGATACATCTGAAAAATTACCTAGAATGCAGAACAGAAATTAAACAGGTGAACAATGTGAATGAGGGGTTAAGAGACAGGAAGAATAGAAGGAACGGTTCAGCATGTGTTGGAAAGAAGTTCCAGAAGGAAAAAATAGAGTGTGTGTGTGGCAAAGAAGCAATATTCAAGTAGTTAATGGCCAATATGTTTCCCGAATCAATGACAGTGATGCATACTCATACTTCATGAGCCGTAATCAAAATAAACAGAAATATCACCTAAGAGTATCATATCATAAAGTGGGAATATGCAAAAGTCTAAAAGAGGTCTTAAAAGCAACCTAAGGAAAAAAGGCATTCCCTACTAAGGAATGACCATTAGAGCGATGGGAAAAACTAGAAACAACATTTAAGTCCTCATGCATTTGGATGGCACAACTCGCTCCCTTGATGGAGTGTGAGCTAAAGCAATCACGGTGCATCCGGACAGTGGAGTCTGTGCAGCCACTGGAGAGTGAGACAGACCTAGGAACACTGACAGGCAGCTGTCACCAAAACACGGCTCTACGTCCAACCACGGCCTGCGTGTGACAGGTGGAGGGTGTATGCTGTGCACGTGCAGTCGCTCCTTAGAAAAGGCTCACTGTTCCCAGAAGACCGAATGCTTCATATTAATGCCTCTGTGCTTTTTAAAAAAATGTATATTTCTATTAATTTCAGAGAGTAAGGGAGAGGGAGAGATAGAAACACCAATGACGAGAGAAAATCACTGATCAGCTGCCTCCTGCACACCCCACACTGGGGATCGAGCCCACAACCTGGGCATGTGCCCTGACCAGGAATCAAAACATGACCTCCTGGTTCATAGGTTGACGCTCAACCACTGAGCCATGCTGGCCAGGTGCCTCTGTGCTCTTTAATCAAGTGTGAATGTACAGGATACCTGTTTAAGTAAAATTGAAAAATTTAAAGAAAATCCTGGAAGGAGATATTCAAATTGGTAGCAGTTACCTGGGGGAAGAGTGGCAACTAAGAATAAGGGGGGAAAGGCGGCTTTTACTTTTTTCTTCTAGACACTGCCATGTTGTTTTAAGAAACAAGAACTCATTTGTGACTGGAACGGGCACCGGGAGGTACAGCCACGCTGTTTAAGCTGGGTGGGGCGTGCACAGGCATTCGTTACTCTTAACTGTACACATCCCTCACCCTCCCATGTGCATACCTACTCTGCTTCAAATATAGATGTCGCCTCAGAGCACAGAGGAGATGCATGAATTCTTCCTGGGTAGGACATGCAACTAAGTAGGTGACACATATTATGGTGACCCCTGTTACTCCAGCAGCCATTCAATCCCCCACTTTCTAGTAGGGAGCTGGGCCTGCAGGGATGCAGGAGAACGTGGAATGTGCTGGAAAACGAAGGTCTCCCCTCCAGCCCTTAGAGGCGCCATCAAGGCCCTGGTGGTGAGAAAGGGCAGGTGTCAGCACCCTAGGAGCTTTGCCTGTAGCAGTCACAGCCAAACGGCTTGCTAACGGGGACCTGAAAGGGACAGGAAAGCAAACATTTAGCCCAAACACTTTTCAGCACATATCTGGTTAATAAGGGCCTACTTTGCCGTGGTGATTTTCATAAAGAGCCCCTCTGTTGAATATTTATGCTCTGTAATTTACAGTTTGGCTGTTAAGGAGACAAAGGCAAACACGAATTTGGTCCAGAAGTTCAAAGTTTGCCATCTGTTTTCCTATTGTATTTAGATACCAGCACGGATGGCTCCAAACAAAACAAACAAATATACCAAAAGATACAGCACTTGCGTATTTTGTATCACCAAGGAGATAAAAGCGGGCCAAAACAGACTTCACTTCTCCCCACAGGGAAAAGGAAAAGCATTTACATGACATCTCCTTGGAGAGCATCACTCTGGCCTCTTGTCGCCAGATAGAAACAGCACGCACCGCAGCGTGCGAGGTCCACACAAGCCGCTCAGATTCACATGCAGGCCCGGTGTCTGCCTCGAACAGCTGACGGTGCGCGGCACCAACCCGAACGCAGCGCACCTTGGCAAAGCCCGGGTCCTCAGCACTCAAATCAAATACTCGGCGCTGGGAACAGGTAGCACAGCAAACGGGCACAAGTATATGCCAAGACGGCCGATTCCAGGGACAAAAAGAAGCCAATGGTAGGTACTGAGTCCCTATCTAGCACGTATTTCATCAACTTTGCCTGCTGAAAAGAAAAATAATTGGTCCGAAAGCTGTAATTGTATTATGTTTAATATTCATGGTTGGATTTGGAGGGCTGTTCCAGCACTCCCTCTCTCCAGTCCCTCTCTAATGAAAATCGCACCATAGGAGTCGGCTCTAGCCCGCCAATTAAAACAAAAGACACCAGAACCTTCCAAAGCCTCCAACAGAGGAGCATCCATCTGATGGGCAGGAAAACGTGCTGGAACGGAGAGGGAGGCACGCTCTGGTTGGTCCTGTGCTAAGAGCTTTGAATAACTTATTACAACACTTGCAGATGGAGCAGATACAACATGCACGCCCCACTCTCGCTCTCTCTAACAGCAGGCAGCAGGGCCAGAGCACACCGCAACTTTGTATTTGTCAGGGCAAGCAGTGAGCGCTGAGACTCTTTAATTGGGGGTCACAACTCAGGGCTCGCTTCCCATTGCTTTGGATTAAATAATCCCATGTAATAATAAAGCAAGATGCACTAGATGGCAAAGGTGAAGCCTATTCCGGCTCAGCTCGGCAGTTTCATTAAGAAGGACCTGCCCTTCAGCTATATTTCTATCCAGAAAATAAAGGGAACAAGCAAGAGGCATTAAAATATAGGCTTGAAAAAAAATGATCAAATTAATAAAGAAAACTAGTATTTAAAAAAAAAATCAATACATGATTCTGTTTTGTTTCATTTAACCTGGGCTATTAAAGAGGATTTTAAATATAACCTTTATATGCCAAAATCAATAGCTTTATCTAGATAATACTGGTGATGGCCTTTAGTAAATGATTCACTTGAAACAGCAACTAGAAAAACGGCCCAGTTTGATCCAACGAGGCTATGCTGAGAGCTCTCTACTTTAAAGCTGCGTCTCTGAAGTCTCCAGTTCTCCGTATCTTGCCCACAAAGAGCAATAGGCCCCTTGGACTAATCACTCCACCTTCCTGGGCCTGTTTCCTCAGCCAGGTCCACAGGAGAGAGCTCTGCGTGGCCGTACATTCTGCGGCCCCTAACAAGCCAGCCCACAGTTTTACCTCTAGACACAATGATGTAGGAAACACCAAAATAATAGGGCACATGACCCCAAATTGGAAACGCGGAAACATTCCATTTACTTTAATTTCTTTTAAAATTTTAATCAGATGAGTATACCTCGAATAACCCCTCTATTTTATGGTCAACTGATTTTCAACAATGGTGCCAAGTCAATTCAATGGGGAAGGAATAGTCCTCTCAACACATGATGCTGGACAATTAGTTATCCACATGCAGAAGAATGAGGTTGGACTCCCACCTCACACCATATACAAAAATTAACTCCAAATGCTTTGTGACCTCACTCTAAGAGCCAAAAGTACAAAAATTCTTTGAAGAA